TTCATTGGGAAATTGAATTAATCAGTCACAATACTCATAGTGACATTGAGTTGTGTAGCACTGCCTGTGCAATGGGAGGGACATGAGAGGCAAATTCTTTTTTCACTTACAGAGGGCATATAACTTCACATTATTCTGCCTGAGTAGCATCCATCCTGATACCAAAAAGCAAACTTTTTAAGTAGTGGCAATCTGTCACTGCCAAAGATGTCAGTCCTCTTCTGCTGGCACAGCTTGAGGATATTGGCCTTTGTGTTATATGCATTAATTTGTGGCTGAAAGCTGGTAGCTTTAATATTAAAGCTACCAGCTTTAATATTAAAGCTGGTAATATTAAAGCTGGTATTAACTATTACATAGTTAGAGGATGGGATGCTCACCCACAGCTTCACTTTCCCTTTCTTTTGCTGTCCAGTTGTGTGTGTAATAGCACCTGTTAGCCCCAGCTAATGTGGCCAGTGTTTTGGGGAGTTGTAATCCCACTAATTTGAAAAGCACCTGTAGCATACAGCCCTGCTCTCACCTGTCCATCACAGCTGGGCAGGGGAACATCAGCCAATGAGAGGATGGAGGGTGGTGCAGAAGGGGGAGGAGCTGGAATATATAAGGTGTGTGTGATGTGTGAAAGGCAGTTGGGGTTTTTTGAGAGTGGGAGGAGATGAGATAATTTGTTGGAGAGAGTGAGATAGATCTGTGAGAGTCAGTGAGGGAAAAGTCTGTGTGAGGTACATTAAATGTGAAACTTGATTTACATCCTGATTTACTACCTGTGATTTACTTATTTTATTTTGTCAAATCAATAAACACAGTTTTTGTTTTAGAAGAAACACTTGTCCTTTTTGATTAATGAATAAACTTTGGTGGCAGCAGTAGAAGAAGAGTACTGAGCACTCTAGGAGGCCTGTATTGGTAGAGACTTCAGAGTGGCCCACTACAGCACCAAATCAGGGGCAGGGTGTGACTGGTTTAGAACATAGTCCTTCATCCCACAGGCAGGGAGGGGTGGAGTGGTGCTGACTGAATGCTATGAGGAATTCTAACTCATCAAAGTTGTCAAGGAAATGTCTGTTTGCTGGCCTAATAAATGTTTGAATGTTCATTGTTTTGTTACTCAGATAAAACTTTTAATGGGGATATTACAAAAAGCAACTGGAAATCATTAACTTATAGGTAGTGAATCTGGTGTTCTTACAGCTGAGGTTCCATGCAGCATTCCCTTTTTCTTGTGCTGTGTTTCATGAGCACTGTGTACCTGATCTCAATCAGACTTATTTTGGCTTAAACATTGGGTGCATTTTGGAAAGGAAATACTTCTTGATTGTCTTACTGTTCACAACAAGACCAGCTTGATGTTGAATGTGTCATACATTTCACTTTCAATTTTAATCATAGTTATCTCTCCCCCCCTCCCCAATTTCTGGGCTCTGTAATTGGCCCTAACCCTAAGGGATTAGCAGGGCAGCCCTAGAAGTCATGCTTCCTGTCATGGTAGAACAGCAGCTTCCCCTCCAAGTCATACTTCTTTATAGACAAGGTGATCAAGCAATTTTGACACCTAATGAAGAAATTGCAGAAGCACCCTCTCCATGGGGGGGGAGTCTAGCACCAGCAGTGAGCAGGCAACTTAAATAACTAACAATTTGCTGTGCTTTGCTGTCATCTCAAATCATTCAGCCTGATGGAAGGATTTTATTGTTACCTTGGGTAGCAAATATTTGTCATGGAAGTGTGCTTCCCAAGTGATAAGACAGTTGAAAGGAGGTCTGGGGTTCAAAAAGGAGGGAGATGAACCAGGAGGAAGATCTCTCTAGTCACTGGAGCTCCTCAAGTACAAAAGAGCTGTTGGAGAAGTGCAGTGTGTGTTTGAAAGTGTGCTTCTCATATATATGAGACAAAGCTGTGTAACTGCTTGATTCTAGATTTTAAAAAATCAGAACTCGAATTCCTGTGTCAAAATTGTATATAATCAGCTACTACATGAAATGTTTGCAGCAAGCATCCTCAGTTTACTCAGAAGTAAGATTTCCAGATGTAGGCAGTGAGAAATGTAGAGTTGTATCATACAATATGAATTGCAGGAGTAATTCAGTTTTGCCATTTTGTTCATCGCAATATGAACATCACTCGAAATTTATGTATTTATGCAGACAGAATTTTGTACTGTCAAGTCAGTACCACTTTCTCATGACCCATCCTCACAGGATTTTCTAGGTATAAAGTATGCAGAAATTTTTTACCCATCTGTCCCTTAAGGTGGCAGGATGCAAAATTCCCACCAGCCATACATACTCTGGGTGACCTGGTGACTCTGCCAAGAGGAACCATATAAATTAGGGCTTCCATTCCCTGGCTCCATATCCAGGCACTCCCGTCTACTGAACTATAACAGCTCCACAACTAACAGCTGTTGATAGATCAAGTGTTGTGAGATATTCTAAGCTTCCTTTTAAGAAAAGGGTGAAATTATCAAATAAACAAAGGAGATCTGTAGTGCTAAACCACTGCACCATGTTAACAAAAGATGGTTTCTGTCATGTCCTAGTTGTTAAAAACTTTAAAGTTACGTATTTATAGCTTCGGTGGTGCTTATTCTGGGTCATTGAGGGATTATACATGCAAGCATTGTGGATAAACTCTTCTGATTTTAAAATTTAAAAATATTTACCTTTTACATATTTATAGCTCTGTTGTATTTTATTTATTTTGTATGTATTGATCACGTATATATTGATTACGCACTTCCTGATAATTTTTTTTACTTAAGTGAAAGATCTGATATTGTTAAGAATAAAAATTATCTCTAAAGAAAAGATGAATTAGTCTGAATGCTATAACCACTTATTCCAAAGGAAGCCCCACTTAGTACAATGAGACTTACTCCTGAGTGGATGTTTAAGCTTATACTGTTCAGCTCCCTTTTGACTAATCAATTCACGCTTGCCAAGTTAAAAGATAATGTAAGGTAACTTGATTTCTGTCTTATGTCTGATGATGTGAACTTGTCCACAAAAGCTCACATAAAATATAAATTAGTCTTTAAGGTGCCATCATGTTTTTTGTCTCTTCCCCCCTTTATTTCTTTTTTAATTTCTGTCTGTTGTCTATCAAGTTATAGGGAAGAAAATAGTAAATTCTCAGTCTGCACATTTGAGGTATTTCTCAGATTATCTTTAAGTAGCAGATTTTTTTTTTAAAAAAAATCCATATTCTTTCCATAGGGAGAAAAATTCCTAAAGTAAGACAGCTGAGGGTGTAAACATTACTAAAGCTCAAAAGAAAATATTTTGTCAGCTGCCCCGACAAGGACTTATAAAAACCCAAATAATGTCATGCTTGTTTGACCCCACAGGGGAGAGAGGATTCTTAACAAAGGAAACATCTGGATTGTGGTGACTTAGTGTGCATTTTCCACTAACTAACTTATTGATGCTTTTGTTGATTGACCACCTTTTACTAGTCTGAACGACTAATCGGCTTAGTGAATCAACACACGCATCTACTTCTTTATTAGCTATTCCTGCTTAATAGTAGATCACATAGTACTGAAATCATCATAACACTTGGTATAGTATTTTCTGCAAGTAATATAAGTTGGAATTAACTTGACAGTTCACACTTAATACAATGACATCTGCATCTCTGAAATTGATGTTTCTTCTACCAATTTTCACTCTTCTTTCATCTGATTCTAATCCACTTGTTTGTATGATATATTTTGCATATGGATTGAACAGAAAATGAAATAAAATACATCCTTGCCTGACACCTTTGGTTGGCACTTTTGCCAATTGGAGATCTGGTTCTCCATATTCTGTTTTAAACATAGCCTCTTCTGTAGGGTTAAATCATCAGGACACTCAAATGTTGTGGCACAGAGATTTCTTTTGGAACACTTAAAGCTTCTCCAAGAAAGTTTGGACCTATCAACATATCCTATTTTATTGTGGGATCAGTTTCCTTCTGGACACTTGGATAACAGCTTTCAATTTGTTCCAGATCATAATCTGCAATTGGTTTGAATGATGTTGTTAGCTTTCCATGAAGTCTAATTTGTATGTTTCGTCTTGCCTCACTGATAAGAGTCATACAGTTTCTTCCAAGTTTGTTGTCTCCACATTAATTGTAGAGGACTATGGGCTAAATGCCGTTAGGCTGAACTAAAGTAGATCCGTTGAATGAATGGGATTTGTTAATTCAATACTAATATGAGTCCCATGAATCCAATGGGTCTACTTTAGTTGACACTAATAATTGGGTTTGGCCATATGCATGTAACATTATCTAATCAAAATGTAGACTCCTTAAATGTTTTTCAAGTAAGAAATATAAGTAGTTTATGTGAGTGTGGTTTTTTAAAATTCAGTATATGTTTGCATTACAGATAAAATGCCTACAAAATAAGCTCTGTTGTTTAGGCTGTAGGTCAGCCTCCAATTCCTTAGCACTCATTCTTTCTGTTCTTAATTATTCACAGGTTTTGTTGTGAAAGAGCAGGGGTCCTTTTAAAGGTGTAAATAATTGGCTGCTCTTGATTTGTTTAGTTTATTAAAAAATAAAACCAAAGCACATTAGAGAAAAACTTCATGTTGGTCAAGAAATAAGAGTGAATTATGTAGAAAACCATAAGCATTTGGTATTGCTAATAAAAGTTGTGTTACTTTCTTAATCTGTGAATAAAGCAGCAGTACATCAGATCATTAACCAAAAAAACAACAACCCAAACTTATTTCTTCTCCTGTCCTGTCCCTTTCCTGTATCTTGTCTAGAAGTGGGAATTAGTTAAGGACTTTTCTATAATGACATTAAATGGATTCTAGCAATTTTTCATTCTTTACACTGTAATTTAATATGTACTTTGCCTCATAGAAAAAATGTTATTAAGCTATTAATAACTTCCAGAGAGATGGTTTCCTCATGTGTTAGGATTGTGTGCCTTTGGTGTTGTGTACAGCTTACTATCATGTGCAGTGTTTGACCATTGCTTTTCCTTTCATATACAGGTGCAGGTGGGGCAAGCAGACATCTCTTGTCCAATAACAGAGTGCAGTGAGCATCTGGATGAAACAACTGTCCTTTTCAACTTGCCACATGATGACATCATCAAATATAAGTACTTCCTCGAACTTGGCCGTATTGGCTCAAGCACCAAGCCATGCCCTCAATGCAAGCACTTTACAACCTTCAGGAAGAGAGGCCACATTCCAAACCCTACAAAAATGGAGAACAAGTACAAAGTGAGCATGCTCACCAGAGCTATGGATTAGATGGCACAGCTGTGAGCAGAAAAAGTAGGCCAGGATATGGTGGGCATTAAATGGGCTTTCTTCTCTTACTGGATCTTAATGTAAGCTGTGCTTTTAGAATACAAATCTGTAGTTTCATACCCCTTGTCTGAACAATATGTTACCTTCCCAGAAGAACTGGCCAGGTAACATATTCACTTCTGTTTTTTGTACCTCCTTGTTCATAGTTGACCCATTAGTTTCGTGTGAAATCTTTCACAAAAGCTGGCAGTTCCTAACTTCTGTCGATAACATCATGCGTTTCAGTGATTGTTTCTGCTGCACTGTCATGTCTGGTCCCTCTTTTCATTTTCTATAGGTGTTACTTAGCTGTGGAGGTTACTAGTTGTAAGGGATGTCAGATTGGAAAGTTAGGCTCTTCCTGATCTACTCACAAATTATGAGTTCTCCTTTCTCTTTTTATTGTTGGTTCTGATGGTCTTGTGCTGCAATCTTCAGACATGTCTGCCCCAAAATAGGTTCCATTAAGCTCTGTGAAGCTTGCTTCCAAGTATATAGATTCAGAATTGCAGACTTAGTTAGCAGAATGGTCACTTAGGTAGCGTGGCTGACAGGCCAAATACCAACAACTGCTTGTTTTGTTTTGTTTTTAATGGAAGTACCTTGCAGTTATGCCAGGAAGAGCAGTTACGTACACCTCTGACACTCACTATCTGGCATGGCCTGTTAAAAAGAAACTCAGATGAGGCCTCTTCTTCAGGTCCAGTCAGGCTGTCCAGTTGTTTCTGTATACTTTGTGTTATTGGGTAATTCTGTAAAAGACACAGAAATATAACAAAGTGAAAAGAACTGTTTGGAGTCAACTTGCCAGAAAGGCCATCATGTCAAGTTAGAGGTTGGCTTTGTATATGTAGTATAGCATACAGTATATTTCTCCCTCAATACTTTGTTGTGTCACTGATAAATTATTAGCCATGGGTACCTTTATTGATTTTTGAATATATAGTAGTTTGCTACTGCTAGCAATAACTGGATTAAATATCTACTAACAGATTCTTAAAGATATATGAAACTGCTGGTATTGGTATGTTTGTTCAGATTTTTGCTAGCTTTTTACCAGATTTATGACTTTTCAGGATAGAGGTCTCTCTGTGTCAGGCAGAGTTCTAACTCCTTTCTTCTGAAGATGCCGGCCACAGAGACTGGCAAAACGTTAGGAAGAAAACCCTCCAGAACATGGTCAAACAGCCCGAAAAACCTACAACAACCATCAGATTGAATATTTTCATGTCCTGTATTTCTACTCAAGTATTTAGTTACACTAAGTTTATGCTCTACCTTCTTGTGCAAATTCATACTTAACTGCTAGTGTGTATTCCTTCTCATTCAAAAAAATAAAAAAATAAAAATACTATTAGAGCAGAAGTATCAGATACAGTTGTATATGTAATATATGTCCACCTTGGTTTATATCTGAGAATATAATCACTGTTTTGCCATTGTTTATTGTCCCTTATTCGTTAAGCAGCTAGGTGTGTTTGTTCTGAAACAACATTTTTTCGGATGAACTTTACAAAATGCATCTTGCTAAACTAAGTCATTTGCATGCAGTCACTAGTATTTCAAAGGTCAACGCCTTTTTTTTAAATCATTACTGCATGACAGGCAGGAACAGGAGCTCAGGATGCCTTAGAGTTCCCTCCAAGCACGCATAGACGTAACCTTTTGAAGAGCAATCTAGAAGAATTAATTTGAAAACGAGTGTCTTAAGAAATGGATTAGGCAGGAACTATTGTGCACCATTGACAACTGCCCCCTTCTCAAACCCAAAACCTAACCAAGCCTTGTGTGTGTAAAATATGGCTTGCATCTAATATGTTATTTCTGTAGACTATACTGTAATGTCTTCCTGTTGGTAGTACAGTGAGTGGACACTTCACCTGCAGTCAGATCCATATCAGTATGCCAGTTCACACAGACACTTATTATAAAAATATCATGTGATTCTCTGACAAGGTTTACTGAAGAGAGGCAGTAGAGGTGAGACCTTTTCGGATGGATCTGCCTAGTGGGGTCATTGACCAACTTTATGCTGGACACATGGAGAAAGAGCTATGATCAAAAGTCATAGCTAATCTACTTCTGCTTGTTGTGAATGATATTGCTACAAATGTCTAATGCTTTTAATAATAATAATAATAATATAATAATATAATAATATAATTTATTGTCATTGTAAGTATATACACAGTATACCATACAACGAAATTCACAGACTGTCATTCTGAGCAGGTCATTTTTAATTGGGTGACGCTGTTTACAGTACAGTGGACCCTCGATTTTCGGAATTAATCTGTATTGGAACGGTGGCTGCAGGTTGAAAAGTCTGTAGGTCGAGGCTGCATTGACCTACAATGCATTGAAAACCGATTAATCCATAACCGGCCGTTTTTGTTCCATTTGGGGTTTTTTTCCACTCTGTACAGTGGACCCTCTATTTATGGAATTAATCTGTATTGGCATGGTGGCTGCAAGTCGAAAAGTCTGTAGGTCGAGTCTCCATTGACCTACAATGCCTTGAAAACCGATTAATCCCGTAACTGGCCGTTTTTGTTCCATTTTTTTTTCTGGTCTGCGGGCGGGCGGGCACAGGGTGCTGGCTAAACTGTAATGATTGGGCATCTTGCATGTTTATGTTTAAATCTCTGCCTCAGAATTCAAGTTATGTAGTCAGTGTCTGGAGCTGGGATATGTAATGAATTTGGGTTCCTTTTGATTATTTTTCTATAAAATTTTAATGCTTCTTACTTTTCATGCTAGTATATACCGACTTAGGGTTTGCTCCTGAAATTCCTGTGAGTTAAATAAGAATTGGTCAAGGCTCAAGCTAAAAGTTAGATGATATTGTTGGGATCTGATGGAATCTCATTCAGGCTTCCTCCTTTGAAGCACAAAAGAGAGAGCAGCTAATTGAACCCAAAATATGTCATATATAAAATACCAGCCATAATTTATTACTAGGACCGTATGGCATACTAGATCACTCTGTCTCATTACTTCTGTTTTCAATCAGTGCGGCAACAATATTTGAATCAGCAGAGCAAAGTTACTATTTCAGGTTGTTATAGAAAAAAAAGTAGAAGTGCATTTTGTAAAATATATTGTGATGGTTAAAAAGCAGATTATAGATGGAGTGGGAAGGCTTTGTGTGTTTGCATACTTTAGAAACAGAACACCGAGAGTGACTATTGAAGTATCTAGCAAAGAGGTACTGTTATTAACTCTACAGGATTCTCTTTCATTAATGGAGAAGTAAATGCAGAAGGACAGGGAGAACTGCATGTCTGTAGTTGGCAGATACTCAGCCATGGAAACTAGGTCACCTTTTATTTTGTACACTCTACCACTGAACAGTTCTGAGAGGCGTAAGGTATGGTACAGTGTTTGAGCATGAAAAATAAATAAGCACCATTATTAATAGGCAGTATTAAAACCTATTAGGAAAACTTGTATGAATTAAGAAATTATCAATCTATTCATAAGCATGAGTGCTCGTTTAACATCTATCTTATGTGGACACTGCTAAAAGACCTTTAGCATACAAGTAATGCCATTAACGTTATTGGGGTTATTTAATATAGTAACCTTACACATTACTTGTGTTTGTTGTGGGTAGCAGTCAATAGCACACTTTGAAATATTGGAAAGTTCTTCGTATTCATTTAAAAATATAATTAATTTGGGGCGGCAGTTGCTGTAGGACAGCCAACCTTTTTGAGTTGTCAGTATCATAGGAGCATTGGGTTTGAAATGCCCTTCATGTGAAGTCATTGTTTCTCCTAATAATGAACGTGGGTGATTTTGGAAGACAAAGGAGACCATTCAAAATGATTCAGAAATAAACAGGGTGAGTTCCACTTACTCAGGGATGCCCCTAGGTACACATCGTCATACGTGTGTAAATTAAAAGGATAAACACTCCAAAGAGCACAGTATGGATGTGAGCTTCTTAGAATAGCATTAATTAATGCGGTACTCCCCAGTGTGTGAGACTAGGAACTCCCACCACCCTTGCCAGTATTCCCTGTAATCGGGAATGATTGGTGCTATAGTCCAGAACATTTGGAGGGCCCCATGTGAGAGAAGGCTGCTCTAGTACATACAGAGTAGCAGAGGTGGCAGTTGAATGGATTGCGGGGGGAGAGAAATAGGGAGTGGGGAAGTAAATTGGCCTGTTCAACCCCTTGGGTATTATAAGGACACAGGAGAGGCCCTTTTCTGTTGCTGCTTCCATACTCTGGAATGCCCTCCAACAGGAGGCTAGGCTGCCCCCATCTTTACAGTCCTTCCACAAGCACGACTTCCATAAGTCCTTTCTCTTCTGGCAAGCTTTTCCTTAATGACTGACTACCTGAGTGGGTTTATAAAAAACGGATTGTTATACCTTTTGCTTTGAGTATGTATTGGTGTTGCATATGTTTTTCAGTACTGTATCCATTTGATTCTTTTTAGCATTTGCATTCTTGTTGTTAGCTTTAAATATTGTCTTTCAATGATGTAAGCTGCCTCGGGCCCTTCTTGAAGAGAAAGGCAGGATAAAAACATTTTAAATAAATAAATAAAAGCCGCCTATAGTGGTCTAGTATGACCAGATAGGCGGGATAGAAATAAAATAAATAAATAAATAAATAAATAAGCATCCTGATGTTCAGTTTAGAGACAGATGGCTCTTTTGTTAGAAAGCTTTCCAGCAGCTTACAGAGATGTTACAGAGATGTTCTATAAAGAAAGAGGGAGAAAAATAACATTTTTTTTCAGACTTGCCAGAACCTCCTGCAGGCACTACTTATTGCAGGTTCCATTTGTGGTAATAATAAAAAGTTTTATAAGAATTCTTGTGTAACAGTGCTTAGTATACCTGAAGCTGGGTTGAAAATTGTGTCTTCACTTACCCATTGCTAAGGAGCGTGGTTGCATAATAATTAGAGTGTTTTCAGCTTATGCTTGTGTTCCTGAAATTTCCTGCACTAGAAGCCTCTTAACTGATTTGTGGTTTTAGAGGCATTGCAAAAGAAGTGAAATTGGAAACAGCTGTGGTTATTATGGGTATGAATTGACCAAAATAAAAAATTGGCATGCACACACCACTGATTAAAGGAAACCTTTTGCTCAGACTGAGCTGTCCACAAATTTTTACACCCTGTTGTATCAGCCTTCCCTTTTCTTTAGAGCCTCTCACTTGCATATCTCTTTTATGACACCAGCAGTTCATGTGCTGTGTCATAGTCTTCTATTCTGTCTCTCTCTGGAGTGCTAATTAATGTGAAAAAAGGTCAGAGTTGGTTGGTCTGTTTGTTTGTTTTCTACTCACATTTACTGTGCTGTTATTTGTGCTTTTATTTACACAGATCCAGTGCCCAACCTGCCAATTCTTGTGGTGTTTTAAGTGCCATTCTCCCTGGCACGAAGGAGTTAACTGCAGAGAGTACAAAAAGGGGGACAAGTTGTTACGTCACTGGGCCAATGAAATTGAACATGGACAAAGAAATGCTCAGAAGTGTCCAAAATGCAAGGTGAGGAAGTCATCATTAATCTGTTTTTTCCACTCAGTGTTTGACTATTCTGTGAAGTTTTCCAAGCTGGGATGTATGTGCAATGTCACCTAATGGAATTCATGCTGACTAAGGCAGTATTACTGGTCCAATTAAGTTCAAGAGAACTTAATCCCCATCATCTGCTGACATAGCTGCTCTTTCAGAAAGTGCTTATCTATCATCCTCTGTTTGTTTGTAGCTGAACTGCTGAGTTTTGAAGCTATTAACCTTACTGCTTCCCAGCCAAAAAAAGAGAAAGAAAAGAAAAAGAAAAAAAACCCACCACCAAACAAAACTGAAAAAAACAAACAAACTCCATTGCTAGTACAAAACACACAACTCGAGCCTCGAGTAGGCTTGAAATTCATGGAATGTCTGTTTCATGGGAGACACGATTTCATTTGTAAAAATTCTAATTTTGTTGCATGTTGAACTAAGTCTTATCTCATGAAGCCAGTAATCTAAATTTGAAAGAAGGGGAGGAAGTTTGCAAGCAAAAAGGGGACCCATGCTTAATGGAAAACAAAAGGATGACATTTATGTATTTTTAAATATTCACATGCTTTTTATGCTGAAAAATTCCAAGGCAAAGTACAACAGTAGTATAATATATAATACGTAATGCACAACTATGCATTATGGCATCTATAATGTGGAACCTAATACTCATATCACATATGATAATCATGTAGTTCTTTTTATGTTAGGTTGAACTGTATAGGGAAAGTCTACTGAAATTTTTTTCAGGCGCTTGAGAGATTTGTGAGGGGAAAGACATTCCCACTTAATGGGTGTCGCCATGGTAAATGCCCTGCTCCAGACAACTGTAAAGCAGACTACAGGATATTTGACAGAATCTGGAGGGCCTCTTCAAATAATCTTAAGAATCATTTGGGCTTGTATAGGAAAATATATATTTTTCAGATAACTGGGTCCAAAGTTGTTTATGGCTTGAGAAACTAATAATATAACTTAAATTTGGCCTGGTTGCAAATAAGCAGCCAATAAGCACTTTCTTTATCAGTAGTATTAAGTGTTCCTGGTAGATTGCACCATTCAGAAGCCTATTGGAGGTACTCTGTACCAGCTGCAGCTTCTGGACCAACCTTCACGATAGCACCATGTAGAGCACATAGCAGTAGTCCAGTATTGCAGTTTAAAGTGCCTAAATCACTGTAGTCAAGCTATCACTGTTCAAGAGCAGCCACAACTGGCATATCAGCTAAAGCTGATAAAAGGCCTGTACAATCTGCTTAAGTGATCTAGGGTTTCAAGGACAAAAGAATACGTGATCCTACCGAAGGAAGAGAATCCTGTCCCGAATAGGTAGTCTGTCTATCTCACAGTCTTCTACCTGCTTATACATTGCTGCCTTCATTGCTTCATCTGCAAGTCAAGTTGCCTTCGTGTGTAGGAAGAAGTGGCAATATGTAAGTTCAAGGCTGTAGAGAAGGTTAGAGTTACAATAGGGATAGGAGTCGGCTGTAATGCATGCTTGTGTCATGTGACAATGACTGTAAATCATGTTATTCACAAGTGTAATTTCTTCAGTGTTGTCACATGAAAAGATGTACTAAAATATTTATGAAATATTTACGAAATGTGAGGGGGTTACTCACTTTTGTGTCATACTGCAATACTTAATGCACAAGTTTGCAATATAACATACATAATGTGGAACCAAATACGCAAATCACATACAGTGGTACCTCGACTTATGGACATCCCTACTTACAACCATTTCAACTTACGACCAGCTCCAGTTGCAAAATTTTGCTTCTACTTGTGACTGGAGCTTCCA